TATGGCTTGCTGTGCAAGTCTCTGATCATATGGGTGGCCCTTCTCTGGACTCTCAAAACTTGGTGTTTAAAGAAATACTTTATTGATGTTTTAGGTAGCCCATGCCATATTTAAACAGAAACTAGTAATATTCTTAGTGAACTTCTAAATTACTTAGCTTTTTTAAAAAAACTTCACTGAAGTGTAAGTAGACTTACACAAGTGTCAAAATTTTTCTCCCTAGCTCTAAATATACTACTTCGCAGTTTGAGATGCAATATAAGATCTGATAGGACCCCTTAGATTATTGAATACAGTACTGTGCTATGACTGTCATCCATGGAATGAACAGATTAAAATCCCTCTTAAAAACTTGCTAGGTGGAGTGATTTTTTTATTTTATTTATTTATTTATTTTTTTACTTTCATTTCTTGTTGGAGTTCTGATCCAAAACCAAAAGATTATCCCCTCTGTTGAATACTACATTATACATTATAAAGGGAAAAAGGCACATTGTATTGTGTTTCTTCCCAGGCTGAGGACACCTATTATTTTCAGAATTTTATTCTCCTATTGTACTGTATTTGACACACTCCTCCTTATAAAATTAAATTGATATATTTGTGTATATTGCTAAGACTTGTTATTTTGTCTTCCTTTTTCTCTCTTCTTTTCCCTCATCCCAATATAGAACTTAAAGGTATCTTCCCAAACAAATTTTCTCTCTCGAGCATGGTGGTATCCAATATTTTATTTCTTTGAGAAGAATGTACAAGGTTCAGTTCCATGCTGCTTCTCCTGGCCAATATCTTGGCCTCCCAGCTGTTTCAAATCTTCATGCAAAAAATATTCTCGGGTTCAGAAGACGGGAGAAGACAATGAAAAATCCACTTGAAGATAGGAAAGAAATCAACTGCTCTTCTTTTTACCAAAACATTAATGCTATAACCAAAGTTCTTTGAGGACTGTATTGTTACTCAAGTGGACCAAATTTTTGTGCAATTGATTGGAAAGACACCTTGTAGACAAAAATGTCACCCCTTGATATATTTTCTAGTCATCACATTGTACAGGCCTGTTCCACTCTTCAGTGCTAGTGTGTACCACTGTTAGGATTTTTCCCTGAGAAAGAAAAGAAGCAGGACTTTGGTTTATTAATGAGATTAAGTGGTGCCAAAGAATACATCACGCTCTTCATTATTAATTATCACTCATCCACAAAAGCACCCAAACAAAATCTCTTCAGAGTTCTGGAGTTTAAGGGCAGAAGAATACTAAAAATTTGAATGCACAATGTCTATATAGAAAAATATAAAGAATAACACGATGGTGGGAAGTGGTGTATTGCATTGTTTTTGCAAATGAAGGTTAAACCTCCGATAAAATGACTGAAGCTGGAAGTGAGCCTTGCCATTTTTACATTATACTGGGTATGAATGTATTATGACCCTGAAATACTACCAACTCCTGTGTATTCTATACTACTCTCAACCATATTTTTTACACTTTTTTATTAGTAATTTTATAAAAGTTAAAAAAAAAAAAGCTGTTGTGCTACTTGATGACATTGTGAAATGGAAATAATAGCTGCTAACATCATCAGCTCTACAACCTTGGAGATATTTTATTTTTAAAATTATAACAAATAAGAAAATCATTTCAAAGTCTAAACCTTTAACGGTGAGATAATTTCAGTTTGTATGTGTTACGTATATATAGCTATATAGCACATATACCTATATATACATGTACTTCTGTGTATTTACACACGCACACACATTAACCAATAGTATATAACTGAAAAGAAAGCTATTTATAATGTTTCAAGCAAAATTTACGCTGTGTTGGGTTGTTTGTTTGTTTGTTTTTTATTCATTCACTTACTTGAGGACTGTAAAGTCAGGTCTTAAATGGGGAATGTTTAAAATTAAAAAAAAATAATTTTAGTTAGTGTTTCACGCTGAAACTATGTAGCATTGTGCTTGACAGCCTCATGTTATACATTGAGAACATTATTATTTATGCTTGGCACAAACCTCAGTCTCATAAACAAGTGTCCAGGCAAATACCTTAAAACAGTAGCATTTCTTTGACTATACCTAACATCTATTATTAAATGGTGCTGTCATATGACTGACTTGCTAATTCCTTTCTATCAGTGCTGTTTTGTCCAGCCAAAGGGTATGTTGGTTAAGAAATGGGAAATCAATGCTTCCTTAGAAGCGCATGCTACAGTGCAGATCAGCAGTTACTATGGTTCATATTGTTTTGTTGTATTTGATATTGTTCTTTAGGAAACCAAGTGGATAATTAGCACCACAGTGTTTAAGAGTTAATAATTTGTTCTGTATTCATTTCCTCAGTTTTGCTAGTATTTTATTTCCAAACCTTCAGGAAAAGCTGACAGTGGAGGGAATATCAATGTTAATAGTTGGTTTAACCTTTAACATAATTGAAATACAAACTTTTTTAAGAATGCCTTGAAAAGCTTTGAATGACAAGTGTGAACACTGAAAAAAGAAATAATGACAACCTCAGTTTTAAAACTTCTAGTTAAAAAGTTGTATAAATAAAATGCAATTTAGAGTATTTGGATCTGATCTCTTTTTCAGAGGGCCAATAACTATAAAAATATGCACCAGAGAAGTGATTTTTACCTTGCATTTCAGATTATTTGATAATGCACAAAAGTAATACTTTTTTCCTTACAGGGCATCCTGATAAAATATAGTTAAGTAACACTAACCTTGTTCTCTTTTTAACGGTTTTGTCATATTTCACTAGAAATATTATGCACCATATTTGGGACCTTTATGTTATGCAGATAGGCACATTAATCTCAGAGTTTTGTTTCTGGCAGAACTCTTGCCTCAAGTAGATAACTCTTACACTGTGAAAGCAGTATTTCTTCAGTTTTGAGCTGCATAGTCTTAGTGAACAGTATAAGGTTGGTCCTTTACAGAATGCAAAGTTCTGTGGTTTTTCTGTTTTTCTTAAATCATTATGTCTTTGAAGTAGCAGACTTCTGTGCTGTAGCTAGATCAGCCAAGTCATGTTTAATTATTTTTGTTTGTACCACTCTCATTGCCTTTGGAGGGAAATGTAATGAATTTCTTTAGTAGTAAATCTGCTTTAAGATGAGCACTGTAAAAGTTGTTATTGGAGCATTCTAAGCAGCATCAAAAACTATGGTTTTCATCTGGTAACCTGTTAAATTACTGAATAATAAATTGTCTACATAGATTACAAAAGGGTTCCAATGAGAGATTCCAGTGAAATGCTTAGAAAGCTAATGACTTGACTTGCCTGCAACTTCTCTGTTCAAAAAACAGTATACTTCTGAATTTATGAAATAACCTGCCTTTTTCTGAAAACAAAATTAGGTAAATGATAGTATTTTCTAAGTTTTCTTATCCTTTTGACAATAGGATCTTTCCTTTTGACCTTGTAACTCAATAGAAGATAATAATCAGTTGTTGAATAATGTTTGCTTGAAATCCCTTTTTGTTTAAGCAAAGAAGACTTAAAAAATGAGTCTGTAGCTCAATAAATTGAATAAATTCTAATTTTGGCACAGTTCTCTTAATGCTTAAATTTTCTCCATTCTTAACTTGATAAAAGCGGAGGGCTTTTAGCTTTTAAATAATGGTGACCTTTTCCTATTATCTCTCCATACCTTTAAGGTATGGGAAATGAATGAAAAAGGGAGTGGGGATTTACCTCCTGTCACCTGTTTTGTAGTAACTTTTTTCATGTGCTTGTCCTTACCCTATGGTAATGGAAGCTAAAACACAGTAGTTTTACTACTTAATGAAATAGGGGTAAGTTTATTATAGTTTAGCACAGTGGTGTTTGGCTCAACCCTGTGGGCCAGATGAGTGATACAGGGCTGGATCCATGTGTTCGGTCTGTGAGTGTGATCTGGTACATTGCCCTGGCCCTGCGTGCTGGACCCAGCTGTGGAGTGACTCTGCACCAGAGCCCGGCCCCACGGTCTGGATCTAGCCACCACCCGACCTGAGATTTAGAGCATAGTTTGGTGCATTAGGGCCCTGTCATTCAGACTGCATGGCTCCCTCCTCGTCCGGAAATTTGGCAGCAGGGGAGTAGTAACAACATGAATTTATATGGCTTTCCAAGACTGCTGCAACCATTCCCCCACTGCTAAATTTCTAGACCCGTGGAAAGCCTGGATTCAGCCTGCGGGCCAGAGATTGAACCATACTAGTTTAGCACATAAACAATTACAGCAGAAATAATTTGCACTAATTTGTTTGTCCTTGCCTTTTTGTTTCTTACTAATGTAAACTAAATATCTTTTATCCTTTTATTTTTTTTTTAAAAAAAGTACATATCTCGTTCAGGAACATCTGGAGCTTAAATATGTTCAAGATCAGTATACTGTGCCTTACATTTTCACATTACCCATTTTTGTATTTCCATTGTAAACATTCAAAGCACACATAGGCCACTGCTAGCTTATATATATAAAAAGCCTAAGAATTTCCAGTAATTATGATTACTGAATTACAAAACAACTCCAATACAAACATTCAGGCGGGAAAGAAGGTGAATAAAAGGATAAAATGAAAAAGGAAAATACGAACTTGGAATTCATTCAAATGCAACTTACAGTTCTGGGCATTGTCTTGTATTCAGGTTACCATTTCAAATATATATCATTCAATTAAAGTTTTCTGTGATTTTATTTGATTACTGTTTATAGTAACACTCATGTCCCTTGCCAGATACCCATAAGCAGAGCCGCTCAATTTAGGGTTTGTAAGACTTCTGAAGTCCACCCCTGGAACCTCAGTATGTATACCTGCCATACCAATAAAGTCATAGTTGCTGCTGAATACTTGATTGGCAGATCTGAAAACGGGTGTCTAAGCTACCTGCCTTACTAGAGTTATAAGTCTGACTTAAGCATTCATATTGGCCATGGTAATTAGTTATTAAGTTTAATTTATCAGAATCACGGCGTCGATGGCATGCAACATATCTGTCGGATAAAGCAGCTAAGTCAAGTTTTGTACACAACTGGGTTTTTACCTCCATTATATGTGCTTAGTGCTCCCTTGTGGAGATAAAGGATATGTGTCTAGCATCACTCAAGTCGCAAAAGGAATTTTGACACAAGGAACTATAAAGGGTTAGACTGCCAGTTCAAGAAAAATAAAACCAAACCACATGTTTTCCTAATACTAGAACCAATTCCCCTCCCCCCATACAGCTCCATTCCTTAAGACAAACAAAAGAATGTGGATAACTTGACAATGGGTTTTTGTTCATTTTTATACATTGCTGCATTACTGTCTTTTGGTAAGAATCCAGAAATAAAAATGTTCTTGTGATATTGACAACACACAAAGGAAAATCGTTTTTTCATGAGACTTGCGATCATGATGTTGATGCTTTTCGACAAACCTTGAATTCAATCAGTCCTCCAAACTTTTGAGTTTCACCAGTCACTAGCGATTTCATGACCAGATAACACGGCCCGCTTCTTAATTCATCATAGGGACAGCAAAGGTTTATTTCTGTTAGATTTGAAATATGCTCTAGGGCTTTAGGATCTGATTTCTCATCTACAACTCAAAGGGGCTGAATCAGGCCCATAAAGAGAGGCCTCAAAATGCAGGTTTCAGTTCTGCCCCAGGCTCATTCATTGACTCGTGTTCATTTAGAGAAGTCACTTTAGTTCTCTGGGACTAATTTATCAGTTCCACTGAGCATCAAGTTGCAGTGGTCTTTCACAGGAATAGACTCAATGGGCACATCGACACGTGCAATTAATGCGAAGCAATACACTCTAGTATCAGCTGGAGGTCATTGCTCCTGGGTGCCATGTATACATGTGCACTTTAAACTGCAGCATGTTGAGCTGGAGAGTCAACCTGCCAGGCTGGGGCTGCTCCAACCTGGCTTAACATGCTGCAGAGGGGCTGAGTGCAGGGCTTGCCAGCAGCTAGTCCCTGTACTGAAGCACTCTCATGCCCAAACCAGCCCTACATGTGCATTGCTTCAGAATAAATAACTCTGCCATAGGATAGTACTTGTATTTACAAGTAGTAACCTACCTTGGAGTTAATTAGTTTACTGGTGCCTAATAAACCTGCACTGTAGATACGGACATTTTACTACAGAGCTAATTAGCTAGCTGTGCAGTAAACGCCTCGTGTAGACGCTCCCAGTGTACAGGCATACCTCGGAGATATTGCGGGTTCAGTTCCAAACCACCACAATAAAGCAAATATTGCAATAAAGCGAGTCACACGAATTTTTTGGTTTCCCAGTGCATATAAAAGTTATGTTTACACTATACTGTAGTCTATTAAGTGTGCAATAGCATTATGTCTAAAAAAACAATGTACATACCTTAATTAAAAAATACTTTATTGCTAAAAAATGCTAACCGATGGAAAAATGGCGCTGATAGACTTGCTCGATGCAGGGTTGCCACAAACCTTCAATTTGTAAAAAACACAAGATCTGCGAAGCGCAATAAAGCGAAGCGCAATAAAACGAGGTATGCCTGTATATGAAAATTTAATCTTTCCTCACAGCAGTTTTATGGTTTGAAAAGACTGTTTCTCTGTCTCTCAGTACTATTGTGTAGTTGTACTATATACAAACTACTTCTTAGATCATTGGATAAGTGTTATAGAAGTGCAAAATACTTTCTTGAACTAGGAGTTTGACAGCATGGTTTAACTAAACTAATGACATATGTTTTGAGTTCTATTTCTGCATTAAGCACAGCAAAAGACAGTCCACATTTCAACCTCAAGGTGTTCTTTTTGTAGTGGCTGAATTTGACAGTCATTCAAATCAATGTTGCAATTGAAGGACATGTAAGAATAATTTCCCAACATAATATTATATTAATGTCATTTCATTGTTATCCGTTAGAAGCCAGTGATATGGATATTGCAAAGCTGCGTTGTGGAATTCTATTTGTAACAAACATTGGGAACCAAGTCAAAGTTATCCAGTTGACTATCTCATGCAAACATACACTTAAACTAGCATGAATAGCCTGTGAGCTTTACTTTACTTAGCAATATACTGTATATTAGAATTAAATCTAGGAACGAAGAGGGAAACTTGAGGCTAGTATATGAAGATTCAAGAAGCCATAAACACAAACTATATTTGCCAAGTTGGAAGGTAAAACTATTACATAGGAACATTTATTTAATGCTTCAGGATATGGAGATGTGTTGCAGAATATGTATTAAGGGTTAAAGATTAGCCAGTTAAGTTCTTTTAGAAATATACTCTTTCAATGCAAGTGCCTTATTTTATAGTCCAGTTTTATGTCTCGTCCTGTACATTGTGAAATACGTTGATTTCCTTCAATAACTTCCATTATAAGAAAATGTGTATCAGGTATATGTTACTCTAAGGACATGTTATTAGGATATGTTTGCAGATTTTAATCAAAATTCCCTCTTTCAGACACTTGCTGTAACTTTCAAATGGTCATTAAAAGTATCACACAACCTGTACTAATGCATATAAGGGTGCATTAGCACTTCTGCTAGTAAGCTCCTGTTTCCATGGATTTAATTATTTGATTGTAAAATATCACGCCAGGCTGAAATGTAGCACATGAGTTTTGGGCCAAGGTCAAATATTTTGACAAATGTTGGCAAAAAGTTCTGCTTTAAAATTAGTTTGTACTCCAATAGATGGGTGTTAGTCTTTTTCTAACAAAGTCCTCAATCTCTGTCTGCGTTAATTTTTAAGGTGGAATGTTGAAGCTGATAGTTTCTAATGTAGTTTTGTTTAGTGCCTTTGAATGTTTGTTTTTCTTTGTGGAGGAGGCTGGTGATGAAGAATCACTATATTTAATTTGCTTTCAGTGGGAACATTTTAAATCTAAATGAATAATATAAAGGCTTTTATAGAAACATGTTTTCTGTGGATGTGTTTTCTGTGATGTTGTGCTTTGGGCTACCATGTGACCTAGAGCTGCAACCCACACAATGAAGAAGGTGCAAAATGGCCACTGCAACAAGAACACCCAGGAGGAATTATGGTTGACTCGCATTGACTTCCTGCATGCCATAACCATAATATCCTAACATAGAATGTAGCATGCACCACCACACTTGGCCTGGTTCCTCACTACTTTTTGGGATGATCAGGGCTGGCCATAAAAAAAAGGAATGTGCTTCCAGTTACTCTCTCTGGTCTCTGTGCTATGCAGTGGAAGCTTGCAGAGCTCTCCCCACCTTTTTGAACTTACTAGAGCCAATTTGTTTTCTTTTTGGTAAATCAAATTTCAAAGCTAGTTAAAGCTCACTACCATTTTGATAAAAAAACTCCTGTTTCTAAAATGCCTAAGAAGCGATTTAATCTAACATGAACTAGAAGTTTTGTCTAGTTTCTAAGCCATTTAATGTCCTGTATTTTGTATTTGTCCAATAAATACTTAAGAGCTGTGAGAGGCTAGGGTTAATTGCAGGAGAATAATCTATATTGCTAGTTGTCAAAATTAGTCCTTATACTAGACTACTGTCTTTCAGAGTATCTTATATGTATTTAGCAGATGTTGTCTTTTTATTCACAACCTTTTTTTAACATTAAAAACAGAATTATGTTCTAGCAAAACACAAGTAACTTTAAAGTGCAGTTACATTTTTGGAAGAAAACTAAGAATTTTCCGAAGAGCTGAGTTCAGAGGGCTGGGTTTTTTTTCTTACAAGACTTGTCGTCTGACACTGTTCTGACTTGAGTCTACTCATGCCCTTGTGCACCTATTTGAAGTCAATGGAACTATTCATTTGCTTCAGATTAGACTTGTTTGAGCATCTTGCTGAATTGTAGTAAAAATATGAAGTGCAGCAAGATGCCTTCCCAGTGATTTTAGGTGCTTCATGTCACCAGCTCAGATGAAATACAGAGATTCCCTCCCAAATTCCAATGCAAAAAAAATCTTTATTTTGCATACTTTTACATTGTTTTTTCCTTTATGTTTTACAGCAGTAGGCATCTTTGCATTGTTCAGAGCAGTAATCACTTAATGCTTTTTTGTCTTCTAAGTTATGCTGCTTTGAAAGGGAATTTGCTGTGAACAGAGTAGTTTTTCAAACTCTCCTCTTTCTTTCTGTCTTCCTCTAGTCTAGTCAGTCCTATGAAGAGGAATTCCTGCATAATCTCCTGTAGGACATGATCCTTCATAGCCAACTTTCTTTCATATACAATCGCTCTGTCCCATTTGCCTTATATCCATTATCTTTTTACACTGACCATTCAGAATCATGTGATTTATTTTAAAAAAAACAAAAAAAACCATGAGCTGAAGTTTACTCTTGAACTTCCTCAAATACATTGTCAAAACGTGCTCTAGTAATGTTCTTTCACAATTTGCAGCTAAATTGGAATTTTGAATGCAAAATCTAGCACTCAAGGCTATTACTTGATGTGCCTCAAAACAATTTGCATATAGAAATCATCATCTTTAATTACTGAAAAATACAATGGTGATAAAAATGTGAGGGTTGTAAGAGAGCGGCATTGCTATATTCTGGCTGTCATACAAAACTGGGCACAGAGAAGACTGTGGGGAGAGATAATTTATAGTGTCAGGTTTAGGAAGTTTCCCCAGGACTTTTATGGGAATACTTTTAGGTCTCTATAATACTCATTATGGGTATGTACAGATATTTGGGGAGGTTAGATCAAGTTAATGGCCACCTGATCTAAGGTAAGTCAGGAAGGGGGGGGGCTAGTAGGAGGGCTTGGGATCAGGGGAGGCAGGCAGGTTCCAGTGGGGGAATCAGGGAGGCAGTTGTGTTACACAGGAAGGGGAGGGTTGGGAGGCTCGTACAGTTTGCCAGGGGTGTTGCAATTGGGGCGGGGGGAGGACAGGGGCTAGCAGTGTCTTTGAGGGGACTTTGCAGGAAGGGGGAGGATGCTTTTTTCCCCCTCCCCCAGATCGGGGCTTATTTTTAGGCCCCCAAACCCTCTCCGACTCCTAGATAAACAACCCCTTGGTGAATGAACCCCTGCATGCTGCCTGCTCCTCCTCCCACCCCAACTTGCTTGACTCCCAGTATTAGCAGATATCAGTAAAACTAGCACTGGGAACAGGTTGCAGGATTGGGTGTTTGGCAGACTTGTAGGGGACTGAATGATGTTGGGGGGAGGAGGGGAGGTTGTTTGGGGGTGGGACAAAGGGTTTGAAGGACTAAAAATAGTGCCATGGGGGTGGGGAAGGGTAGGGAAAATGCAGTCCCAAGACAGGGGCCAGTAGTTGGTCTTTCCCAGCCCCAAACATGGGAACTGTACAGAAGTTCAATTAGATCTGTTTTGCCAGATCTGATCTAAGTTAGACTATCTCAGAGGTACAGTTAACTTAGATCAGGTCAGCTATTTTTAAACTGATCCAGCCTTCCTAGATTTCTGTACAGTTCTCAGTTACAGTTCTCAGTTACACCCAACCAGGGATCTAAGTGTAAGGTCTGCACCTGGGTACACTATGTTAGACTGGGTGGCCATTTTTGAAGTGACCTAACCTCTCCAAACATCTGTGTGTACCCTCTAGGAAGACTTTTGGGGCTGTTTATAGTGAACTTCGAAACATTCTAATATTTTTTAAAAAATCTACTTAGTTATAGGATTAATTCCATATTTGGACACCCAGCATGCCTATATATAGGCTCCAATGTGTTCTAATTAGAAGGCTCCAGCATGTTTCACCATCGTGTATTCAGCATCCTGCATTTCAAAATGATGGTGGGGGTGCTTTAACTAAAGCTCATTGGATGAAATTAAGTTAAAGCACCCCCACAGCCATTCTGAAATGTGGGACACTAAATGCACATGATGCTGTGGCATTTTAAGTAGAGTGGTCGTCCAGGAGCTGCTCTAATTAAATGCCCTCCCCCACAACTCCAGAGCATGTGTATAGACACTCCCAGATTGCCAAGTAGGTGTTGTTTC